TGTTTAACTATGAATGTAGCCCACGACCTTCAACTGGTATGTTCATTTCTTTGTGTCATGCTAATGCAGTCTTTTGTCTTACTCCTACCTTTGGGGGGTATTTTAAGCAGTTGGAAATTAAATGTAGGCATATTTTCAGTACTCACTGGAATTCCCTCCTGATATTATCCTATATGTTTCTCCATTTTATTATTTTCATTTGTGTCTTCATATTCTTTACTATATTTCTAAATCTCCATGCCTCTACCCTGGCAAGAGATATTTTTGTTGAGGCTGGTCCCTGATGGTGAGGTTAATGTCCTTTGGCAGGTTATATATGCATATGTCATAGATGCTGTACAGGATTAGGTTCACTGCATGTTAAGGATCACAAAGTTGAAGTTTGCCAATTCTGTGTCACCAGAGCCACTATAGCAAAGGGCCTCTAGAAGTAGGCTTGAAATGAGGGTTAAAAGGGAAACAGATATTTTCTAGGAAAATTAGGTAAAGGGAATTTGTGACTGAAGAGATATGTATAAAAAATGTCAAAAGCTTCTGACCCAAGGATTGAAAGATGAACAGGCAGAGGTCAGTTGACAGTTGCATTTGGAAATTTGATTGGTTCTGCTAAACTGTCCTCTTTAAGGGTTTCTTATTCGCCTAACCATTTCCTTTTCTAGAATGAGAGTCCTTTTAAGGCAGGAATTTTATCTTATCCATATTTTCTTCTTTGGACTTAGCCAGAAAGTGTTTAATGCATGCCAACTGCATTAGTTCCTACTTAAAGGCGCAGTTGGGAAAGGACTAGAGATCAATTCCCTTTAAAGAGACCTTATGGTCAGGAATATAAAGTGGGCATCTTTCATTACCTTTCAAAAATTTGTGTCAAGGAGAACAATGTGAAAACCCATTCTAGAGTATTGTCCACACCCCAGAGCCAGTGCACTCTTTCATTGTGTTCAGAAAAGCCTATTCATTACTGAACTTCAGGTATTGGCATCTCCACCTTGTCTTTTTCTAAGAGGTATGGCTATTTCCACAATTATTTGTAGTTGACATTCTGATGAAAATGGTGTGTTGTTTTCAAGAGTAATAGCTTCCTTCTTCTGTTCCCAGGAAAGACTGACTTGCACTGACTCCCATGACTAGTTCATGCTTCAATTAGTCAGAGTCAGACTTGGAATGGGTGAGTGTTTCTGACCACATTTGTCCAGTGATACCCACAAGTCAGCACAATCCTGAATATGAAGATTCCCAAAGTTTTTTACTGGACAATTTTATTTTCTGTCTTCTAAAGTTACTTGAATACCATGTATTCTTTGTAAATGATTCTAAAATAGTCTGCTGCTATCACATCAGAACAGGTTTAAAGACTACAGGATTTAACACAGTGAAAAAAAATCAATTTTTGGTAAGTTAGCTTTTCCTCTGCAAAATGTACCTGCTTCAACATAGTACTGTGACTGCACAGTTTTATCTTCCCTTCTTTATTCACAATTCACATAGTGCATACTCTGCAAAGGAAAACAGAAGTCCTCAAGTCCTTAACTTTCATCCCAGAAGATCCTCTTGATTGATTCTTAGCCATGAGTTGGCTCAAAGGGTACCTGCAGCCAGGCGGTGGTGGTGCACGTCTTTAATCCCAGCACTTGGGAGGCAGAGACAGGCAGATCTCTGTGAGTTCAAGACCAGCCTGGCCTACGAGAGCTAGTTCCAGGACAGGCTCCATAAACCTGTCTCGAAAAACAAAACAAAACAAAAAAAGGTACCTGCATATTCACAAAAGCAACAAATACCTTGCTTTCCATAGCTGTTACTCCCTAACATCCTAGAAATGGACTAAGTAGGGCAGTCTGTGTTATTTTTATTAGTAAAACAGAATTGGCATCAAAACAGCACAGTTCGAGTCCTCTCTCTCTCTCTCTCTCTCTCTCTCTCTCTCTCTCTCTCTCTCTCTCTCTCTCTCTTTCTCTCGTGTGTGTGTGTGTGTGTGTGTGTGTGTGTGTTGCTGGAGATGTTCCTTAGAGCTTCATGCATGACTAGGCAAGTAGCAAGCACTCTATCACTGAGCCATATCTCACAATGTACCCTATGTCTCTTAGTGGAAATCAAGTGGAAAAAGAAGCACTGAAAACTATTTTCTGTTGTTGGTAGCCTGTAGGTTGCTCATAGCCAATCTAAGCCTCAGTGTACTCAGGTGTATGAGGACAAAAAGTTCTTAATTAAGGAGTTAGAGGTATGTTTCAGAGATTTAGAGTGCTTGCTGCTTTTGCAGAGCTATATATAGGCTCTCAGCATATCAAGTGATGTGCAGCTTCTACAACTACAGCTCCCAGTCATCCATGCCCTCTTTTGACCTCTGTGGACATCTGCACACATGTTGTGTACACATGCCCAGAGGTACATATTTTAAAAATGCTTAAAAGGCTTTCTCATCCGGATTTTTTTTCAGCGTCTATGATAACTCAAATGTGGTTAGCTTTTGGTGTCTGAATTTCTGGGTATCTCCCAATAGCTGTCTGTCACACAAATATATGTAAGGTTGGAAGCAGTCCCCATAAGCTGTTAGGAGGTTCTGTTTGGTCAGCCCACCCTTCTGAGTTCTGAGTGTGTAGACAGATATCTAAAAATTGAATAATTGAAAAAAAATTTGTACAGAGAAGAAAGAAAAATCATGAGATATAATGATGATAAAGCACTGATGAACTGGGCAGCATTTCCCAACTAGGATACAGAGATGCCTTCTCATGGTTCACTGCCCCTTAGTGTTGTTTGTGAAGTTATATGTGTGGGCACATGTACAGTTTTCCAAGAAGCATCATTCCTGAGGTCTCAAAAAGGGATTGAAAACTTGCCTTGAAAATAAAGATATTAAATCCAGTTAGGCAACTGTTCTATGCCAGATACGTTTTACATAAATTTCTTTCTTCTCTTCCCTTTCCTCTTTCAGTGAATCTTTTTTTTTTTTTTTTTCAAAAGACACCTAAGGTCAGTGAATCTTTTGGTTAAAATGTTCCATGGTAAAATCATTGTATAAATTTAAAAAAGAAAAAATACTTTTATTTCATTTTTAATTATGTGTACTCACATGTGTGAGGGGTGGGTATGTATATATTTGAGTGGGGGTGCTTTTGGAGGCCTGAGGCATCAGATGCCCCTGTAGCTGATGTTCCTAGATGATGGTGACCTTTCTGCCTAGTGAGGATGTTGGGAACTGAATTCAGGTCCTCTGCCAGAGCAGTTCTTACTCTTAACCACTGAGCCATCTCTTCAGCCCCTCTTGTAACCTTTAATTCTTTATTTGTGTCCTCCTTTTTTTAATTTTTTTATTTTTGTTTTTTTATTTTTATTTTGGTTTTTCGAGACAGGGTTTCTCTGTGGCTTTGGAGCCTGTCCTGGAACCAGCTCTGTAGACCAGGCTGGTCTTGAACTCACAGAGATCCGCCTGCCTCTGCCTCCCGAGTGCTGGGATTAAAGGCGTGCGCCACCATCGCCTGGCCTCCTCCTTACTTTTTTATACCCTAGAATTCTTTCTCCAACTTTGATACTTCTTTGATTTCTCTCTGATATGAGAAGTGAGTGTCTGGTGTCAAATGTCAGCTCAAGTTTTGCTTGCATTTAAATTAGCATTTTTTATTGCTTGTAGAGGCTTGACTCAAAACTGAATAGAATTTATCCAAAAGGCTGACCTCTCTCTGAAGCATGTATTCTTCCCCGTGTTAAAGATTTTTCTACTTTAATTTATACAGACATTTCTATAAGCAATTAACATTCTCTAGTCACCAAACTCCTAACTGTATTTGGAATTATGTATCATTGTTTGTAGTCAATAGAATTACATATCATTTGAAAGATCTGTTTATAAAATAAATTGAAAGGCAAGGCAAGGCTGATATCACCTTGAGTCCTTAATGCTGGCTATAACTAGTCACTGTTATATAATGGTGATCTTAGCTTCCTTCAGCCTTACAAGGAAGTTAACTATCAAAGTCACCTTCAAAAGGTTTTTTTAAAAACATGGTTTGTTGTCCACCCCCAAACGATGTATGCCACCTAATTCATTACTTTTCCAAGAATTTTCCCCTTATTGCTTTTTCTTCTAGTATAATCTGGATGTTTCTCAAAATGAGTAAACAAAGCTGTTTTTAATAATAAAACAGTTACAGATTGCATTCTTTGTTAAGGTTTAAGAAAAATGTGATTTAAGGAAAATTATCATTTACTGGGTACATATCTGTTTGTCTCCTTAATAACTAAGTAGGAATTCTTTCCCTGTGTATAAGGGAAGACTTCTGAGGCTCAGAGACTTTGAAAACTCAGTCTCCAACTTAGATGTAGCAGAGATTAAAACCAAGACTTTTAATCCACCACACTCCTGGCTTTTCTTTTTCACTTGTCTTTCAGTTAAAGGCAAATCTCAAACAAATTTTCAAATCAATACTGAAAAGCTGGAGCCAGACAAAAATCTCTCTAAACCAAAACTCTTAGCTGTTTCTTTCTCCATAGACTCATGTTGGTGAAGGGTATTACCTAGTAGTGTTTATAGTTATATGGATAAAAAGAGAGTTAGGATGACAAAGGAAACACAATATTTTAAAGTATGATTATCAGAATACATTAAAAATGTGTAAAATATGCTCCTAACTGAGACATTACAAATCAAGGTAAAAATATCCTTGAAATTAGAGTAGCATCTAAATTCAAACTAAGAAGCATTAATATATTTGAGAATATTTGCAAGAACATCAGGGGATAGCTATGGGTTTCTGGGTGGATATCAGTAGCAGGTGATGCTCAGACCACTGGCCATGGTTTATCACCTGCGTTCACAATGGAAGGGAATGTTAAACTATTAAATTATATAAATGGATATCAATCTTTTTTCCTCACATCCAAGGTCCCCAAACCAAAGGCATCTGAATTCCAGGACTAAGAACCTGTTCTGACCTTCTGAGTAGGTGACTGCAGTCCCTTTTCCTCCCTTCCAGAGGGCAATATCATTGATGAGGTGAGGGACTTACCTTCCAAGGTCTCACACTGCACTAGGTTGACATAGTCCTGCTGAGTTAGGAGGCTGGCTTTACATCCTCTCACCAGGCCCTCCAGGTAGCCATGATCCACATTGAAGTGTAGCTCTGCAGTTTCAAGCATAGTGCTCAGGCTGAAGTTGCTGCCACAGAACACTGGCCCTGGTCTGGAAAAGTGTGGGTGTCTCAGTCACTCAGCTGATAGTCAGGCTACTACTGACTAGTTTGCTCCAGTTTCATCAGCTTTCAACACAGTGCCTGGATCTTGTTTTTATATCAACAGTGAGTCAGGCAGATGGTCTAAGTACACCCCAGGAGAAATTCACTGTTAGGGGGAGCAAAGGTGAGGGAAAGGGTCCTGGTCATCTCTTTCTCCCACAGTCAAGGTCAAGAGAGTTTTACCAATGAGAGACTCAATGAAAGACCAGGATGTTATGTAAATACACCTTTTCCACAGTTGAACTTTAATTATGTTACATTTTTTGAGGAATGTTAATATGAACAAAAGTTTCTTTTTTAAAACACTGAAAATGCTGGGTGTGATGGTTTGTGCCTTTAGTAGTATAACTTGAGAAACTTATGCAGATTTGCCATGAATTTACCAACTTGGGTTAAAGAGTGAAACTCTGTCTCTAAAATTAAAATAATCAAAAAGCATTCTTTAAAAAAATAACAAATGTTTGCAGACAGAAGGGATAATTCTGTAATATAGTGTATTTGTTAAACAAATAATTAGTCATGTCTTAACATCGCCAAGGGCTGCTGGTTATTTCTTAACTAGTCTAGGACCAGAGCCTTACATTTATATAACAATAAGCCACAACTTCCTTTGCACAACTGGGCAGATTATAATGCACTTTTTATATTTTTTTTGTTACTTTGATACGCTTTTGACTCCCCAAGTCACAAAGAATCAGATTTCAAAAGCTATGAGGTAGCTCAGAAAACACAGCTGGCAATGCAATAGGTATCAACAAAGCCAGCACATAATTGCTCCAAAAGGATTACTTGTTATTCCAATATACTTAGATCACAAACTAACAAATGTCTTCAGTGTGAATTTCCTAGATAGGATTGCCTATGTATTCTGCCAAATGCTCACATAAAGCAATGAGAACCAGTTTAATGATCTGTGACCTCTGTGATGAAATTTGTAAATCTCATATCTGGGAGGTGAGCACAAAATCAGAAAGTTTTTTGTCAAAAGAAGTCAGACATTATTACACAGTGCATCTGAGTGTCAGAAAGTCCTTCTCAGTACTACACAAAAGGCAGAAACAATGGAGGGAAAATGGAATGATTCCTACATAAATGTTAAGGTATCTGTGTTAAATTACTGAAAACCAATGGAAAGGAAAGACTAATAACATTTGTATTGATCCTGTAGACTGTATCATCAGTTGAGAAAGGAACATGACAATGGGCAGGCCTGAGCAGGTCGAACAAAAATGGAATATTTTTATAAATAATGAATAGGGCCTGGAGCTGTAGCCTAGTTAGTAGAATGTTTGCCTCGCTTGCAAGAAGCCCCAGATTTGAATCCCTAGACCAGCATAAACCAGGTGGTGGTGGCACATTCCTTGTAAGTCTAGTATTCAGGAAAGAAAGGCAGGAAGATTAGAGGTTCAAGGTTCAGCTACAAAAAGAACTTCCAGGACAGCCTGTGGTATAAGACCCTGTCCCCAAAACAAGTTAGCTGGGTGTGGTCATGAATATTGTAATTCCAGTCCTCAAGAGACTGAGGTAGGAGGATCACTGAAAGTTCCAGACCAGTATGGTCTACAAAGTGAGTTTCTGGTCAGTTTTGGCTAACTAATGAGACTTTATTTCAAACTGAATTAAAAAAAGACTATTGAGGAAAAATAGGGGAACAAATTATAAAGGGGAGAAAAATAACATAGAACAAATAATCGCGATGAGAGGGCGAAAAGAAAATCAATATCCCCTTCCTTAAATTACGAGATTATTCACCAGCAAAGTTCAAAAAGACAAATTGTACATTTTTTTTGTTTGAAATTGGATCTCTTTGGTGAGCTCCCAATAGATCAGTCCCACTGTCTCAGTGGGTGGGTGCACCCCCCGTGGTCCTGACATCCTTGCTCGTGTTCTCCCTCCATCTGCTTCTCATTGAGACCTTGGGAGCTCAGTCCAGTGCTCCAGTGTGGGTCTCTGTCTCTATCTCCATCCATCACCAGATGAAGGTTCTATGGTGATATGAAAGATATTCGTCAGTATTGCTATAGGATAGGGTCAGTTCAGGTTCCCTATCCTCAGCTTCCCAAGGGACTAACTGGGGACATCGCCTTGGGCTCCTGGGAGCCACTC